CTTTTTTCCAGTGGAGTGATGAGCTGTTCTGTTTATTTAGAAAAAACAATGTCTGTTTTATTAAACTGAGGAACTGTGTAAATATGTGTGCTGAGCTTTGACAGTGATAACACACACCGACACAAGGTATATGTCAGCTTTTTATAAACATTGTCTGTATATTTTGTAAGTTTTGTCTTTGTTGTTTTCCTTTTAATGATACGGGCTAATTTTGTCTGAAATTAAACAATAATAATAAACAACAAAAAGATAAGAAAAAGAAAAACAGTGCAAGAAGAGAGGAAGCCCAGATGTCCCAGTTTTACACTGGGATTTCAAAGCAGCTTACATTTGTTGATCTGTACGAAGCTCACAGCGGGAAAATTTGTGTCAAAATCCTGCGTGGACATGCGACGTCGTCTCTGCGTATCAGGCGATTGGTGCACACACACCTGGCGTGTAGTTTTAGACTTTTGTATGCACAGAAGAGCTTTTGAGGGAGAAAAATATCCGATTCGTGAAGCTGGACTTAAATAATTAAACGTAAATAATCACTATTTATGATTTTTAATTGATAAAGTCATTTGTAAAATACGTGTGATCAAAGTGCTTCGTTTGTGGGTTGGAGCATGAGCCTGTGAATCCTCAAAAGTTACACACAAATCACTGCACATATATGTGAATCTTAGTTTATGCTTGTGGATTGTATCATATACATTCGTGTTACCTTATCGTAGCAACAGTACAGCAACACAACAAAGACTCAAATCAAATTTAAAAAGTTTAAGCGTGATCTTGTATCAAAATGTAAAATAGTCAGAAAAATGTGTTCTATTTTTGTGGACGTCTACACAAATGCACCTTTTTTGACATCACAACTTTGAAACTGCTCACTGGAATTATGTTTTGTACGTGCAGCATTTATGCTCTTGACTTATTATTGGTTTCCCTGGAAACCAAGAACAATGAAAGTTTATTGTAACACAAACCATGATCATTTTGTAACCCCAAGCAAGTAATATATTTCTTAAACCTAGTTGATTAGTTTTTATTTGGTAATTTGAATGTTTATAACCAAATACTTCTAGTATTGCATCGCTCCAAACATCTAATTCTAAATGTATAAATGTAATCGAGTAGATGTTTTTTGTGTTAATCTAACTATAGTTTAACAAAAAACAAATTAAAACATAACTGAAGTGCAGAGAATATAAAGAAATGAAAAACACAAAAGAGAGTTTTAGAAAAAAGGTATAAAAATGCGTTCTGTGTTGGGCCTCGCTGATTCACACCCTCCTGTTTCCAAACGTGAACATCTCTGCCATCATCTTTTTCCTGATTAAAACAGGAATCAGGTTCACAAGTCTATAGATTAAATGTACTGAGTATGAACTATTCCACAAACTGATGAAAGAATACAGGGAAATTGGAAAAATGTTTCATATCTCTACCAACCAACCTGCAACCAAGAAAATGCAACATCAGTGCAAATTTATACCAAAGAAACTGGAAAAAGGTTGGGTTTGAAAAGGAAACCTCTAAACCTCCAGATGCTAGGTTTTGAAAGAACTTCAGGATACATCAACAGAAATTAGAACGGGAGGATACAAATCAATGAAAAACTGGTGTTAGGGTTTGTGCCCCGGATTCTGAATTAATAACCAATTAAACGCTCAAAACTGTAGTGTGACTGTCTTACACACATCCAAAATTTGCAATTTATTTCAAATTATTACCCAGGTAAAATAAGCATTGAACGTGTCGCCAGTTTTCAAAGTAAATATATTTCTAAAGGTGCTCTTGACATTAAATTCCCATCAGATATCAGCAACGACCCAGCCAATCCACACGTGCAAAGAGATGTCCATAAATTAAGCTACATGTAATAATGCGAAACAAAAACCCTTCTATGGACTCTGAGTTTTGGTCCTTTCTAGATTTTCGGATGGATTCAGGTCATGTGATTGGCCGGACCGAGTGTCAGGATTGCTTTCTAATTACTGATAGATTTCACTCATGTCATGACTTTCCGGGCTTTTTTGCACTTCCCTTTCCTCTGAATAAAGCACTCCTGGGCCAGCAGGTTTGTCTGTACTTCATTAGAGATGCACTGCACTGAAGTGTTGTATACTTATACAGTATACTACACGGTGCAGAGTGACAGAAAGAGCCAAGTCGCAGTGAGTTCTAAAGCCATCTTCCTGGTATGACTCTCAGAGCGCAGTGGTAAAAAAAACATCTAAGGGCGAAGTGCAGTCGATGGCTGTTGGATATAAATATTATCGTCAAGTACGCGGATAATTGCAGACTGAAGCTCATGCATGAGAGAAAACAACTTCTATGCGTCTGCATCGTGGCGTGTATGTTTTTCTTCTGAGTTTTCATTTGCTACTGTAGCAGTAATCTTGGGAGGCCAAGGTGTGAAACAGGGTGTGAGTCCCAATGAGCTCACCCGAAACTCTGGCTGATTGGGACCCACACCCAGTTTCACACCTTGGGTCAGGCGATTAGAGGATCATCAGGGGGTCCTTTTGTCCCTCTGTGGGGGGGAAACTCCCACTAGGTTTAAATCTGGGACTCTCCACCATTTGACCTTAGAACTGAAGAAGCTTCTCGGATGAGAGGTGAAACGTCTTCAAGCAACTTAAAGAAGTCCAGACGCTTTTCTTTGCAAGCTCCTATAACAGTGTGTGTTTATGATTTTTTTAGTATATAATGGAATTTTTTTGGAAGTGTGATGCCGAAAGTAAAAGGACGTAAGCAGGGCTAAAGTTTGAAGTGTAGTGCGGCCTCGTCTGTTGTACGGTATATGTAATACATCCATGGAAGTAGTTAAAAGAGAATAAAATATATTTAAACTGCATAGAAAACATTCCATAAAGGCTTTATGAAGACACTCTCTAGCCTTTAGCAAAGCATTGTTTTACATTCTCGCTTTCTGATGCACAAATTTTAAAAATGTAGCTTTTATCTTGATCCAGTCTTTTTAAAATTTCTCCAGTCTTTCAGTTTTCCTGCTCATTGTCATGTTCCCTTTGTTGCTTTTGTCTTCAGCTGGCTGCTTTATAGCTTTCAGATCCCCATGCACAGTTGTATATACATTGTTTACATTTCTACATGAATATCATAAAAAAAACTCCCTGTACTGTGTGTTTTTGCAGTATGGCAGGCAAAGATATTGTGTATTACAGTCATGATCAGTAAAGTTTAAAAGTGAAAAACTGTATATTTAAATGATATTCATAGATTCATGAAAGAACGTTTACAGTGTGTCTGTTTGTTTTTCCGATGTCGGATTTTTGTATAATGTTGCTGCAGCCATCTAAGAATATTCATAACAGGTTTCTGTGTGAAGCAGAGCTCACCTTCTGCATATTTATGTAATCGTGACATTTTTAAATACTTAAAACTTTAAAACACATTTTGTGAAAGACATCAAGAATGTCAGTGAACAGTTTCAGTATGCATTTACTCACACTGTTTCATTGCACCACTTCATTACACAGGTCTAGAGACTGGTCAGCAATACCTTGGTCAACCGACCATCAGTAGGGAAAAGTGTGTATTCTCTGACTAGCTGGCGAGTGGATGCGCTTAGATGGATGTGTGAAATCAATAACATGGACAGTGCTGCACCATAAACCTCCTTGTAATTACTTTGGTTGCTTGCAGACTGCTGATGTAAACTGTAGTTTGCATGGAAGATGGCGACTTGTCAGCAAACACTTGCTAACTCGTGTGAAACTTGTGTGATGGAAACCGGAAATGTTGAATGTTGCAGAGTGAAAGTTTGGCCTTACAGCTGAAACCAACATGTTTCAAAAGACACAACTTTTGCTTTGAAGGTGAACACTTCCGCTCCCTTAAGGCCAAAACAGAGAGAATGAGGAGGAGCTTCTTCCCCCAGGCTATTCGGGCCCTGAACCAGGTGTAGGACTGGAGTCTCCCACACGTCACCACACGCATCACCACACATTTCCTATAATCCTATAATTTATAATCTTTATAATCTCTTCTGCTATTTGCACATTCTTTACTGTAAATTCCTAAGTTAATTTGTAAATTTTTGTAGTAACCTGTAAATTGTAAATATTGTAAAACTTTTTTTCTGTCATTTAATGGTCGGGCATTGTACAGCTACAAGCATTTCACCTCCATGTCATACTGTGTATGGTTGTGTGTGACAAATAAAATTTGAATTTGATTTTGAACTGTATCTGTGTTCAGTTTGTGTCACACTCCTCATGGTTTAACTTAGTAAGTAGTTGGCAGAAATGACACCATCTTCAAACAAAGTACGGGAAACTGCATCAACTACAGCAATCTGCAGGCCACCAGTGCATTCGTAAGACGGTTATTGGTGAAGCACTGTATACCTCTTTGCAACCAGTTTCACCTACCAACAAGAAGAAACTACTTCCAACAACTACTGGTCAGGAAATGGTCTCATTCTTTCTTAGTGACCAGTGGTTATCACTGACCAGTCTCTAGGCATAGTGATTTCCAGCAGCTACCTGCAACCTGCTGAAAAATACTTGTTTGTCCTAGTGATCCGTGGTTGCTGACTGGTCTGCAGGCATGTGGTTCTGGGTTTTATGGGGTTTGATAGGTGGATATATTATATTGACCCTTGACAAATGATTTAAATAAAAATGTGCATATTTTGCTTTAATTATTGAAAAAGACAGTTAAAAATAATCCAGTTCATTTTTCTATCTTCAAAATGACCAGGAGCAGTGGTCAGCTCTTGGGTGGTACAGTATGAGTTCACTGATAACATGTGTCTGCATTTACTCAAGTATGTCTACATCAGGTTATTAATGCTGCAATCCATGCCTGGATTATAAATACAGCAGCAGTGACCGTAATAGTCCTGCTGGGGTTCATGTTGCCATGAGCACAAAAGGGACTTAATCAAGTCTGTGCTCTTTCCCCTCCAACACTGAATTCTCAAGAGGAGTCTTTTAATTGCAGCAAGTAATTCACCAAGTGTTCATCAGACCTTTCTGATTAAATTTCAGGTCAACAGACTACGGAGCAACGTACCAGAAGCTGAATGACAAAGTAGGAGCAAAGACAATACTCAGTTATTTGTACGTGAGCCCCAACAACAAGAGAAAGGTAATGGTCCTCTTTTGTCATTTCTTCTGTATCCTATTTTAAAAATTGTCTTGACTGTATGAGTTACTTTTGTTTGCTCCTCACGGTTGGCATGCCAGTCACACAGTATGCAGTATTGAATGCATGCAGACATATTGATGTGGTCTGACTCACTGGTCTCGGTTTGATGTCTCTTCTCTGTCGCTGCCTACAGTCTCAGTAAGAAGCACTGAACTCACTCATTTATTAACAAGTTCAAACCAAAATGACAGTTAGCTGACAGAAAGGAACAATCTCTCCCAGTTCTACATGGATATAAATCAATTAGAAGTCAGACAACCCCTTCAATCAGTGCCCCTGCCCTTCCTTTGGTTTGGGTCATTTGATGGTATTAACCACCTGTCTGTGTTCACAGTCGCTTTACATGACTCCCTTTACACAACTCTAATCACGAAGTTTTTCAGTTAATTACCATCTAATTATGAAAAGGGAATGCAGCCCCAATTCAGTTCAGATGCTGGCCATATGATATAGGTTGTTGGGCAGTGACTGTTACGCCCCTGAGGTCTGTTAAAGGTGCTGAACCAGATGATGAGATGATGAACCTGAACACGGAGAGAGACATCCAGGACTCAGCAGAAAGGCTTGAATGTCCTTCTGTTATCGTCAGCAAAGCATTAAGAGACTTTCTCTGACCGTGGGATTTTCTACAGCATAATTTAGTGAGAAATTTTTGAGGAAATGGTAAATGGTAAATGGCCTGCATTTGTATAGCGCTTAGGAAAACAACTACAGATCAGTCTGTCTTTGTTAACACACAAACCTGGGGAGTCTGGAGACAATCTGCAGGATATGACCCCTGCTCCACCAGACAAGATCTCTTTATACTGTATATGAAAACTCCTTCACCAGAATTACCACTGGTGAGGATATTCTCCTGTTTTGGACACTCAAATAAAACCCTTACAACATAAATACTCCGAATCCCCCAAAAATAATTCAGCATCTAGTTTCTGAGAACATGTTGCAAAAAGCAACCTCAATACTAACCCTAGACGCCTCACCATTGACCTGGCACATGTTAGCATGTAAAAAGCCCAACCTTTCATTCTAAAATCCACTGTCATCTACAGGTTGGTCTACAGTGGCAACAAAAGAACCGAAAATCTTAGAAATCAGAGTCTGAGAATTGCAGCTTATGACTTTTATCAAAATATCTTCAGGCTATGACTTCCTGTTGATCTAGTGATGCTCCAGAAAAACAAGTTTATGATATTCTGTCCTAAGATCCCTACATCCCACAGTCCGTATCTCGACTTGTCTTCGTGTTATATAGGTCAATATGAGAAATGACAGCATTTACAGACAGTTTTTGCAACCTTACACTTTTAAACGATCGGTGTAGAAGCTCATCATCGTAGAGTAAATGTGATAATTGGCTTTCCCATTTTTCTTTCTGCTTCAGAAATGCTGGAAATTTCCAATGATACCGTTTGACTAGATGTCATCTGTCTACCCCTCTATATCTGCAAAATTCAATCAATACTGATAATCACAGCAAAACAGGAAATTCTTACTGACCACAATACTTAATCAATGAAAGACACAAAAACAGGAAAAAGAAAATGTGGTCCAGGAATAAGGAGAAATTTTAGCTTTCATCTGATGACAAAATACATGATGGGAAGTTATCAATCAGGCATAAGCAGTATATAGTACCTCAAATTAAAAGCCCTTTGCCAGAACTGTTGCATTGCCTTCTGGCAAAAGCAAATTATTTGTCCTTGCAGCCCTATGCGTTTTAATAGTTTTTTTCAATAAAGTCAACCAAGTCAAATACATTGGATGGGCCTAGTTTTTCCTATAAAGAGCTGAGTTGCTTTATCCCTTTAAACGTAGATGATGAACTGAAGCTGAACGTGGATGTTTTCAGCCTAATCATTGGGAGCTGCTTGGATATAAATCATAGGTTTTCTCAGCTGGTTTAGGGTTGGATGGGGTTGCTGAGGCAAGCTCTGTATACAGGCTTAAAATATATTAGAGGCAGCACATCAGCAAATGGTCAAGGTTAACCACTTTTCTGTGCTCAGGTCCATTTGGGTCAATTTTGCCAGGTTCCATTATGGCTTTGGTCCATTAGGGTTTTGGGCATCTCTGATTGTGTGTTTGTGTATTTCTATGTTTTAAATTTTGTTTTGTCCATGGCTATTTTGGGTTTATGAAACACCATAATTAATCCACACATTTTTGCCAGACCCTAAATATCCATTTTTTCTCTTGTCTTTATTTGTCACATCCATCTAAATGTTAGTGTAACAACAACACTAGACTAGTGATTACCGTTTTAAGTTCCCAATTCTAAGCATGTCTGTTTGGGACTTGGTTTAAGTAAGCTGTAAAATCTCTTCTTCTTGCATGTTTGTATTATTCATGCTTTTACGATACATATTTGTCCAACTATGGAGTCTTTATGACATGCCTCTTATTTGCATCAAAATGAGTGGCAGACTGGGGTAGAAATGTTCGTATTAGCAAGGCTATCTTCTGTTTTATTGCTTGTAGAGTGATGGGATCTGGGCAAACCCAAAGAAGATGTCTCTAATGATGCAGAGAGACAGAGAGACATCACAGAAACATTTCAGTCCACAGAAACCAGCAATCACCAGTTTCACAGAGCAGAAAACAGATGAAGGCCAGCAAATAACTTGACATGTTGCTAATGTCACACACGCATTGCGACACACTTTCTACCACAAAGCCAAAATGTCAGTCAGCCATACAAACCATCACGTGCCAGATATACACAAACATGAGCCTAAATAAGCTCTTTCACACAAAGTTACGCATTCATATATTCTTTGTCTCACACTTACGCTTTTTTCTCTCACACATCCATAGTATCACCATATTGCCAAAATATGACGTGTAAAATAAAAATGCTACTGAAAGCATCCTTGTCAGTCTATAGAGAGTTTATTACATGCAAAACATACTAGTAATGTTGAGCAGAGGAAAAATGACTTGGTAAACTAGGCTTTGTTTCATCTGCAAGATGTAAAGTAGAATTTGAGAGCAGTATGCTCATTGCACTCATTGATAATGTTAGGCAAGCTGAGGCTAGCAAAACACATCAAATTCACTTTTTATCTGTCAATAATGTAACATAGAATTCATAAGTGAATGGCTTAAGACTACAGATTTTATAGATTCAGATTGCATAGACACTCTTTAGCCCAAGCAATGGGTGTTGGACATCACTGGGTGCTTTATTCTCCTTGAAATAAGGAGACTACACTACACATTTATAGAGCATATCTATAAGTTTTTAATCAGGAAATGAAGATTTTCCAACATAATTGTTAATCGGGAACAAAGAAGAAGGAGAGTTTTACACTGCATTTCTGTGGGAACAATCAGTGATTCAAACTGGATTCCACATAAACTGTTTGTTCTGCTGTGTGTTTGCTCACTTATCCAACTGAGGGTCATGTGGGGATTGGAACTTGTCCTAGCTACTGTAGGCAGGACTGGTCACTGACTTGATGCAGGGATAACACAGAGAGACAAACTACTATTCAAAAACATACACATGTATGCACAATTAAGAACTAGATGTCTTTGGACTGTTGAAGGAAGCTGGAGTACCCAGAGAGAACCCACTTGCACATGTGGAGAAAATGTAATCTCCACGCAGAAAGGCCCCGGTGGATTCGAACCCAAAAAATATTCTTTCCAAGAAAATCATAATCTAGTGGGTTATTAAAAGTTTCTTATATCACACATGGTGGCCAGCACGGTTCGCAACTGAGACTTCTGTTGATAAATCCCAAAGTGCTTGAGTACTTGCTTATGCTATGCTATGCAAATGTGCAGATGGTAACTGATCTCAGAGCAGTGAAAGCAGAGCCAGTAGCAACTTTTCTAGCATGTTAATTTCCTGTTAGTTTCTCGTAACACTGGAGGTTTATCCACAATGCACAGAGTACCAGGAAAAAGACCTGCTGGCCTCTAAGTTAGCCCAGCTCAAACTTTTGTTAAATGGGCCACAGACACACCAATGAAATGAACACATACTTAAGTGGAATTGGACTGAGAGTCAAACCTCCTTCATGCAAACTGGGACCACAGTTGGCACTGATAGACGATGAGAAAAACTTACTGGACTGAACACTGTTTGAGACGTAAGGAGAGAGATTTGGTCTTAATTTATGTTTTAAGATGAAACTGGGCAAGCACTAACTGCCTTGCTTGCCCCGGGGCAATGCTACTGATTTGAGATATCCTGAAATACAGTTAATGTGTAAGATGTAATTGATGTGGGGCGAGCAGTCAGTCACTTTTGCAGCACATTAGCAACATGCATGGTAGGTTTCCTTTTGTCAGTCAAATCTACAAGTCTGCATTTAGAATTGGCTTGTAGGATGCTCACTTGAGGCTTTGGATCCAGCCTCAAGTGGACAGCAGAGGAACTGCAGCTTTGGCAGTTTCTTTCATTTCTCACATCAGATCCTGGACATCACTGTCCTGGATACCATTTTCATTTTATTCAGATAAGACACAAGACAGTATTCATGATGTCATTGTGAAATAGGGCAATTATCCTGTCATGAGCTGATACAAGAGAGCATTTATCTTGCTTAGATAATATGTCTGAACCAAATCTAATTGCAGTCGATTCAATATTTGTTGTAATACTTCATCCTGATGGTAGCATTAGGCTGACATATAGCAGGATAGACTGACATTGTTATCTACTGCTAGCGTCGCTAACATTAAATAAAAAAAAAGAGTGGAACCAGAGAAGAAGCAACTCTATAAAGCACTCCAGACTCAAACTGTTTTTTCCTCCATTGTTGCTGTTTCCACATACTTGGAAAGTAGGGAAGCAGTAGAGACTGCAGGTTCGTCAGTCACCCCGGGCACAGCACCATGTGACTACTGCTGGTGGCAGACAAAAGCCCCTCTCTTCATCAAGTAGTGGAAGTAAATCAGGCCTGTGTGGCTGTGGGGGATAGTGGGAG